GAATGATACGAATCAACAAGAAGTTATAACAGAACATAGTTGGGTTAGGGGAAAAATCAACGTTTTGGTGAGTTCAATTCCCGCTGGGAAGTGCTGACCAGTTGATGGGCATCCAAATAGAAATGGAAAATGAAATATGTTGGACAACCACCATCAAGTTTAGGCATAAAATTGACACCTCCAACATGTGAAAACGCCACGTGCCGACCTTGCATCATGAGAATAGCTGGAAAGTCGCAAGAGCTCCTTTTCTTCCATCTTACGCACCTTCAATGCCATAACTTGCAGCCTTTTGCTCAGCTTCCACCGGGCTACAAAAGCAGTTTCTTGCATAAACGGGAAGCGTGTGAGCACGACGTCGTAAACAGAGCTGGATTAAGCCGTCTGGCCAAGTGCGTCAAAAGCGTTTCTCTGCATTAATATTGATTTATTGTAGCCCCGGCAAGATTCAGAAATGCCCGCCAGACCTACAGAACACTTCCAGTACTACATGGCCTAGATGAATAACTTTGTATCCTGTGTAAAAACGCTTTGTGACACAAATGTTTTACAAGTATTCATGATATCCATGTGCATATTGCTGAGCGTGTATATGTATGTTATCTTATGCATATAAATGTACAATGATATATATATATATTTATTTATTTATATATATATATATAAAATGGATAATGATATATATATATATATATATGTATATATATATATATATGTATGTATATATATATATATATGTATATATATATGTGTGTGTGTATGTATGTATATATATATATACATGTGTGTGTCTACATTCCACTGCAATAAGAAAAGCTGAACCCCCAATTTCGGAAACACATCTTCTCTCAGATGGTTCCCATTGTTCATAGGGCATATGCGGATAGCCCTAGCTTCCTACATCGGTAGATCATTTTCCTTGGGTTTCCCATGGCTTTCCCCCATGGGTTTTCCACATCTTTTTGGAGCAGAAAAAAACCGGCGAATTCCGGGCTTAGTCCAGCAGACTCCACACAGAGCCCTAACAGCTTTGACCTCATTGGAGGTAGCGCTGAGATGGTTTTACTTGTTGCCGCCCATTTATGGTAATAAAAAGGGGGTACCCTCTGGTAAACTAACATAACTATGGAAAATCACCATTTTCAATGGGAAAATCCACTATAAATGGTCATTTTCAATAGCTATGTTAAATTACCAGGGGGTAGTGGATTATTGGGTTTACCGTATTGCTAATTAATCAATATCATAATTCTATATAATTCTTATCAAAATGAATGTATGGATTGTTCCAGTGGTGCTTGGCCAAAGTTTGCAACCACCGGAGATTCACGGGATTTGGATATGAATTCCCAAGACACGAAACGGCCTAAGATTGGGAGCCAATTGGGATACCCCAACCTCGAACAGATGGGCCACTGGGGTCTGGTTGAAACTGATTCGTCTCTCCCCCCGCCACTTCTTTTAGCTGAGGGGTGGGAAATCGGCTCGGAAGCCAATGTTTTGAACCCATTTTTGACATACAGTGACATACAGATACATCATATCATATACCCAGATAACAAATGTGCACATGCATCCCTACATGTCTCAGTTTGTCCTTCTGGTGAATTCATAAATAATTTTGCTGTGATTCGGAAACATGGCGGGTTCAAACTGCGTCCGTCTGCTAGGTTTCATGGATACATTCTCATGTCTTCAACATCTTGCGTGGCTTCTTCTGATAGAATTCCAAATTTGACTCGATTTTGCTTAACATCTGAAAATTTGATACAATTTTGACAATCTCTTCATTTTCTCAGACAACGACTTGCTTTTCAATGAGGCCGAAGCCCTAGGGCTCCGAATTTCGATCCACTTGGCGATATCCCTTTGGGAGATATCCAATTGGCAGTGGCTTCAGCCGTGATCCCGAAATACCCTGAACTGATGATGGATACCATTTGGTATGGACAATGGCCCGTTTAAAAATGATTTATGGAGGATTTATGGAAGATTTATGACGATTTATAGATGATTTATGATGATGTACTTGATATCTCAATCTTACCCAATAAACTCAATAAACAAATTGTGATCGTCCAAAGCGATGTGTAACCAGAAGGTAAAATCAGGCAAAGACAGCTTCAATGCATGGCAGCATGGAAGACGCCAGGACGATGCAAAAATGGTCGAATGGTTGCTGCTTGAGCCCCGGAAATTCATAGGAAACTGACTATCGTCCCTTGTCTATTGCTGAAGATATATCAAGTATAGTTTGAGAATCATCATCCCCAAATATCCCAAATATGATAAATATGGTCGAGACATGTTGAAGGTAGAAAATTGAGTTGAAACCAACAGCCAATTCAAACCTCTTAAGCGCAATGCGGAGAGCCTTTGGCTACCGAAAAGCATCGCAAAAAGATCTCTCAATATTTCGATGACGTGTTGACAGCAGGAGCCTTCACCCCAGCTATCAGCTGTCACGAGCAAAATGTGGTGGGAAAGCACCAGGTCCCCAGCTGCCCAGCTTCAGAAAAACACCTAGGCTGTGAGGCGTCACTGATGCTGCTGCTTGATATCTGCTGATATCTGGTGATTGTATCAAAAATGTCATTTCCTGTCATTTACTGGCAAGGCTATGACATGTTTGCAAATGATTGCAGCTATTACGATACCAGGGATGCAAAGTGGGTCCAACCTCGAAATAATGTGGAGGCCAACCGTGGCAATCCGGTAATCAAACGTGGCAATGGAAATCCACTATGCATGATCTGGTTGGTGGTATACCTACCCCTCTGAAAAATATGAAAGTCAGTTGGGATGATGAAATTCCCAAAATATGGAAAAATAGAAAATGTTTGAAACCACCAACCAAATGATTATAAGTGGAGCCTTGAATGGGAAAATCCTCTAACCAATGGGCACTTCATATGCTTTTTGCACCACTTGGATGTTCCCAAAGCAGCTAAGAGAGCAAGTGGACTGCCGGCCTCAGCTAGTGACTCAAGTGCATGGCCCGCTGTACACCTACCAGTCTACATGTAAATTAACAAATGTATGTATATATATAAATACATACATACACATATTTATTTATTTATTTATCTATTTATTTATTTATTTATTCAATCTTATATTTATATTATACATATGTACAGTGGCAGAATCGATAATAAATCATCAATGTTTGATGCTTAAAATAGTGCTTCACACAGAAAATACATCTTAATACTCACCCAGTAAGCTGGTATTGGAAATGGCTGTCATGCTCCGATGGGTTTACCACACCACTCCGATGGACTCCGGTGGCCCAGTGACTCAGCTGATTCCTCATCTCCTCACTCCTGCACGACTCGACTAGGCCACTGATTCGATCTGATGAACATCTGAATAAATAGCTGCTTAATGGATGGCTATTTATGTATATATATATGTATATATATATATATTTATGAGTTCTCCTCCAGCCTCAGCCCTATATACCAAAATGCATATGCAGGCACCCCAAAATGCATATCTAAAATGCATACCTTAGATCCTGTTTGGAGAGAAATGCTTCCCTCACATGTGTGCTCAAACCCTATCCAATATCCAGCTGAAGCCGGGTGGGAAGTGTGTGGGCAATGGGCAATAGCAATTTGTACTGGTGATTCCTGATTCTCTCAAGAAACAATTGGGGGAAAAACAGCACACAAGACTTGTAATTATTGTAGTTGTCTTGTTTTCCATTGGTTGGCACCAACTGTTGAGAGAATGGTGGATGCCTTTACCTAAGACTTACTTACATGTATACTAGGCCGCTATGCCACCATTATGCTATCTATATCTGTGAGAAAAGGCACTCTCTGCTGGGTATCCTTTTTGGGCACCAACCAAAGGGAACCTGATATGCATTTTTGGGGCCTGCAGGAATTGATAAGCATTTTGGGAATGCATGTCTAGTATGCATTTCACCCAGCCTGGAAATCCTACATGCATTTTGTCTCATACCCAGAATGGTGGTAAAATGCATATTTTGGGTTCCAGGGCCAGCCCCCAGAAAATTCATATTTCCCAAAGTATGCATTTTCTATAGTCTCAGGATTTCATCAAAAATATGTTTTTTACATCGCAAAATGCATATTTTTCCCTTTGTCGGCTTCCCCCTGGAAATGCATATTTCAGAAATCTTGCTACTTTTAAGGGTTTTCATGGGTGAGAAATCGAAAAATATCCATTTTACATCGTAAAATGCATATTTTGGAATGCCCAGGTTGGATTCAAAAAAGCATTCCAAAAATGCATGTTTTTTTGGCAGTGTGCAGCTGGGACAAAGGCCTAGTGAAACCTGGACCTACTCGCTGCTAGTAGCCGCTAGCCACGGCTGAGCAACAAAAAAGTGAGCGACACAGTGATTTCCAACAGCTGTTCTCCAACATGTTTGGACCTATGTTTTTGATTGTCAAACCACCTTGCAGGTATGCACAAACCTATGCTTCTATTTTCAAACCACCTTGCAGGTATGCACAAACCTATGCTTCTATTTTCAAACCACCTTCCAGATATGCACAAACTTATGTTTTTATTTTCAAACCACCTTCCAGGTATGCACAAACTTATGCTTTTATTTTCAAACAACCACCTTCCAGGTATGCACAAACCTATCCTTTTTCTTGGATGAGCCCTTCAAGTCCCAAAAACACATGCATTTTAGGAATGCTAAAAGTATGCATTTGTACCTAAAATTCTTGGATGAGCTCTGAGGCTCAGGAGAACTCATAAATATATATATGACTATATAAATATTATATATGGTCATTCCCTAGTCATTCCTGGTAACTTCACTAACTTGACCCATCCCCATAGCCATCGCCATAGCCATCACTCCTTCTCCAAATCTGCCGTGTTCTGATTCTCAATGGGCTTCAGCTGCAGAATTCGCAGCATCTGCGTGGGAACGAAGTCGTGATGACCTGGCCACATCGGTGTCCATAGCCATGGAGCTGCCCCATGAGCTGGATGCTTTATATTGTTTTTTGTTAGGTGTATGATGGAAAATCCAAATATAACATATAGATGATTTGGGGTACCTCCAGTTTAGGACACCTCCATATATTATTATTATTGTTATTATTATTATGATTATTATTATTATTATAATATAGATAGATATATATATATATATCATCATCATCGTACAACCTGATCTCATTCCATTCCAACAACTTGCAGCATCGTCTGCCTTCGATCTTGTCCTTTTCTTCCTCGCACAACAGGAAGCACCTGCATGGCGCATGCACGGATTAAGACCCTGACCATCTCATCCACCAAAAAAAGACCCTAAAGAACGCCCCTTAAAAACCGCCAAAGCCATCAGCAAAACCCTGCAACTTTCATCATTTCAAGTTGGAATTCCTTGGAGATGTTGATTCATCTCGGGGTCCGCCGAGATTTCACACACTCGCAGAGCTTCAGCAGTTTCTGCATCCCGGGCACTGCTGAAAGGTCGAAACTGCCAATCCAAAGACGTTCAGCGTCAGGCGGGAGACCACATAGCCACAGACCACGTATGAGATCTTAGCACCGATAGCTGAAAGATTGGAACCCGAATATCCGGATGAACCATAGAAAAGAACCTGTCAATTTTGATGTTCACCCACCTAAAATTTGACATGATTATGATAGGTTTTGAACCATCCAGAGAAGGCATCAGAAGTCACATGAAGGGATATGAAACGTTCTGAAACTGTCTATTAGATGGAGCATTTTTTGTCAGGAATGGACATGTCCTTCACAAAGCACCATCCAATTGTAGCATCGCCGATGCCCATCATCGGGTCGGATCAGGATATTTTTCGGATATCTCAGGATCCAGCGATGGGAAAGATTGGCAAAGCTTCAGGGTGCATGCCCAGCAAGTACAAATAGCCAAGACCCACCTGGCACGAAAGCTGAACGAATTTTGCGCGTTATGAAAATGCAGAGATTCTTCACGAACCAACCTACATCTGAACGAAAAAAAGTTGAGCTGCTTCCATCTGGGCCATTCTGGGCCACTCAGCGCAAGTGCATTCAAATAGCTGTATTTGATTCATTTTGTACTTCACGGTTTCCTGTTTTCTCATTGTATCTTGGAATGGTTCCAGTACCCCTCATGACCCCCACAATCCTTCCCGTTCTCAGCCCAACACCGTTGCAGCAATGATGAAAACATACCTTGGTCATTTTACTATCTGAAAGCATGCAGTTACAGCTCCATTTGTCTGTGTCAACTGCAGCATGGGCCCGTTTCAACAACCTCCACTTGGTGCCCAAACATTAGGTGGAACTAAAATCATTGAAATCAGGGTAGGTTCTGAAACATATTTGGGAGGCGGTATCTTCAATATCATCTCCCATGGTGAATATCAGCCATTGGTCGAAAAGAACGCATATTCATGCTCCATCTGTTGTTTTTTGCCAACAGTTTGTCCAAATGGTAACAGTTAAATGTGGTAAACACTCGATTTTGTTTGTCATACCGAGTCATACCCAACCGGATATTGGAGATACCACTACCCCGTGTTTCTATGGATTGGTTTAAGGGAAAATCTGCAGGAAAGCCCCATAGAAATAATGGGAAAATCGATGGTTTCCTGTAAATTGTCCTGTAAAAATCTATGGTTATAGTCACACTATGTCACATTTATACACCTATGCCTGTGCCCTTGTCCCCTAATCTCGTTGCTTGGCGCCATGTAAAGAGCCACTTTTCTCCAGATTCGAAAACAGGTGGTCTTAAACCGAAACCTTCTTGGAGCGTTGGCAAAGCAATAATTTTTGCAACCCAAAGATCCCCAATTTGTATGGGTGCTATATATATATATATATCAATATTGCTTTATATACTAACATAATGTTTACCATGGTTTGCCAACTTAGCGGTTCAACACCCCAGTTTCTATTCAAGGGACCCTACGAAGTTGATAACGGATCCCAATAATGCCACCGCGCCAAAGCGTAGAGCATTGTTGAGGATCAGAAAGAACGCCTGCCGTTTTGAAAGTCAGGAAATCCGACCTATGGAAAATCTATTGAAAGCTATGAAACTATGTTGCAAATTTAGGAAATCTATATATGGCAATCTGCAATCCAAATAATTAATCTGCTTGCCTGTCAGCATTTTGATGCATTTTGCATATTATAAAGGTGATCTGTGTAATCCTTTGATGGTTGGCTCATGGCCCCCCCACAATGGACTGTTAGAATCCCCAGCACAAAGCACAACCCTCTATAATTCTCAATGAAACTGCTCAAGTGGGATTAAGTGCTAGCAGCTAGGACATCGTGTAATTCAGGCAACTTAATACAGCCGCCAAAATGGTGCATTTTTTTTCGCAAATCATTGCGAGAAACCGACAATGCCGTGATTTTACCTGCAGTGCCAGGCAAATCCAAAAGCCACCCATGGAGGGACGACGAGACTTCCAGTGTGTGCGATCAAAGATTCCCAGCGACTAAGCTCTTCCAGTGATTTGGGGGAATGCTGAGCTACTCTGGCTACTCTTCCAGGAATTTTGGTCCTGAAAACAGAATTCACCAGGCAAAAGAAATGCCTTAAACATCAACGGTTTCTCATTGGGATGGTCATCATAGTTGGTAACTGACAGCTGTGGTAGGCAAAAAACATCTGCCTTCTTGGCGGCAGTGCAGAAGTTGTGGCCATTGATGGCAATCTGGATGTATGCATTCCTCAGTTTCACGGAGCATAGCCAGTTGAAATGCATGTGTTGAAACAAGTGACAACAATTGAGATCTTTTGACCTGTGACTTTGAAACATGTGCATTGATATAATCCCAACATGGGCACACCAAATAAGCAAATAGACACTTGAATGTTCATCAAGCATGACGCCCAAAGAAACGATGATCGACAATGACCGACACAGTGGGACCACCACTGTAGAACCCCCCACAATACCGAAAGCCTCGCAATTGCCGAAATTCTGAAACTTCAGCGCCCCCCCCCCCCAAAAAAAAAACGCTAGATCAACAAGCAAATTGGATCAAATTGAGATGTCAATGTTACCCCGCTCCCTGACCAATCTGACCATCTGACCATCAGACCATATCCCCATTGGATGAAATTCAGTTTGCCTCCATAAAAATGCGATTTCTGAGCGGGTTATGAAGTCTATTTAGGCATTATCAGATGCGTTGTCCAATATGTTGTCGGGAATTTTGAATATACATACATATACACATACATATATATATATATATATACATATATATATATATGTACATACATTATATGCATAATATAAACATATATATATATACATAATATTACATAATGTATATATATATGTGCATATATTTAGTAGTATTTTTGCATGGATGGGATTACCACCCGACAGGCTTGGAGAACGCCCAGGCTCTTGTTGATGAACTTCAGGAAGTTTTCCAAGCACCAGAGACAGCAACGAGTAATCCTCAAGATCATCACCATCACCTACCGCTGGATAGTGCTGGGGCAGGGCGGCCCTAAAGACTTTATCGTTTCTTTACATGGTGAATCTTAGATACCTAGCAAAACATCAAGTTTTTGCCTGGTGAATGTACTAATGTCCGCCGACCCCGGCCTTCGCCAAGGCCGGGGCGGCGCCTGGGACCACCGCAGGTGTGGAACTTGTCCTGTCGGACCACCCTCCAAAACCCTCTAAAACCGTCCAAACCCTCCAAACACCTTGTCCAGCAGGCACTTCAGGGCCAAGGCCACTTCCCCAACAGGCACCCCAGGGCCAAGGCCACAGCAATGGCTTTCTATTGGCTTTCAAAGCTGCCGTACACTCCAAACCCTCCAAAACCCTCCAAACGCTCCAAAATCCTCTAAACCCTCCAAACACCCTCCAAAACCCTCCAAACCCTCCAAACCCTCCAAAGCCTTCCAAACCCTCCAAACACCCTCCAAAACCCTCCAAACTTTCCAAACCCTGTAAAACCTTCCAAACCAAAACCCTCCAAACCCTCCAAAACCCTCCAAACCCTCCAAACACCTTCCCCAACAGGCACCCCAGGGCCAAGGCCACTTCTCAACCAGGCACCCCAGGGCCAAGGCCACAGCAATGGCTTTCTATTGGCTTTCAAAGCTGCCAGCCCGCAAACACTCCAAACCCTCCAAAACCCTCCAAACGCTCCAAAATCCTCCAAACCCTCCAAACACCTTCCAAAACCCTCCAAACCCTCCAAACACCTTCCCCAACAGGCACCCCAGGGCCAAGGCCACTTCTCAACCAGGCACCCCAGGGCCAAGGCCACAGCAATTGCTTTCTATTGGCTTTCAAAGCTGCCGTTTGCCAGCCCGCAAACACTCCAAACCCTCCAAAACTCTCCAAACCCTCCAAACACCCTCCAAACGCTCCAAAATCCTCCAAACCCTCCAAACACCTTCCAAAACCCTCCAAACCCTCCAAACACCTTCCCCAACAGGCACCCCAGGGCCAAGGCCACTTCTCAACCAGGCACCCCAAGGCCAAGGCCACAGCAATGGCTTTCTATTGGGTTTCAAAGGTGCCCTTTGCCAGCCCGCAAACACTCCAAACCCTCCAAAACTCTCCAAACCCTCCAAACACCCTCCAAAACCTTCCAAACCCTCAACCCCCTTCAAAATCTCCAAACCCTCCAAAACCCTCCAAACCATCCAAACACCTTCCCCAACAGGCACCCCAGGGCCAAGGCCACTTCTCAACCAGGCACCCCAGGGCCAAGGCCACAGCAATGGCTTTCCATTTGCTTTCAAAGCTGCCGTTTGCCAGCCCGCAAACACTCCAAACCCTCCAAAACCCTCCAAACGCTCCAAAACCCTCCAAACCCTCCAAACACCCTCCAAAACCCTCCAAACCCCCCAAACCCTCCGCTCCAAAGCCTCCCAAACCCTCCAAACACCCTCCAAAACCCTCCAAACCTTCCAAACCCTCCAAAACCTTCCAAACCAAAACCCTCCAAACCCTCCAAAACCCTCCAAACCCTCCAAACACCTTCCCCAACAGGCACCCCAGGGCCAAGGCCACTTCTCAACCAGGCACCCCAGGGCCAAGGCCACAGCAATGGCTTTCTATTGGCTTTCAAAGCTGCCGTTTGCCAGCCCGCAAACACTCCAAACCCTCCAAAACTCTCCAAACGCTCCAAACACCCTCCAAAACCCTCCAAACCCTCCAAACCCTCCAAACCCTCCAAACCTTCCAAAACCTTCCAAACCCTCAACCCCCTTCAAAATCTCCAAACCCTCCAAAACCCTCCAAACCCTCCAAACACCTTCCCAATGGCTTTCTATTGGCTTTCAAAGCTGCCGTTTGCCAGCCCTCCAAACACTCCAAAACCCTCCAAACGCTCCAAAATCCTCCAAACCCTCCACACACCCTCCAAAACCCTCCAAACCCTCCAAACCCTCCAAAACCTTCCAAACCCTCCAAACACCCTCCAAAACCCTCCAAACGTTCCAAACCCTCTAAAACCTTCCAAACCAAAACCCTCCAAACCCTCCAAAACCCTCCAAACCGTCCAAACACCTTCCCCAACAGGCACCCCAGGGCCAAGGCCACTTCTCAACCAGGCACCCCAGGGCCAAGGCCACAGCAATGGCTTTCCATTTGCTTTCAAAGCTGCCGTTTGCCAGCCCGCAAACACTCCAAACCCTCCAAAACTCTCCAAACCCTCCAAAACTCTCCAAACGCTCCAAACACCTTCCAAAACCCTCCAAAACCTTCCAAACCCTCAACCCCCTTCAAAATCTCCAAACCCTCCAAAACCCTCCAAACCCTCCAAACACCTTCCCCAATGGCTTTCTATTGGCTTTCAAAGCTGCCGTTTGCCAGCCCGCGAACACTCCAAACCCTCCAAAACTCTCCAAACCCTCCAAACACCCTCCAAACGCTCCAAAATCCTCCAAACCCTCCAAACACCTTCCAAAACCCTCCAAACCCTCCAAACACCTTCCCCAACAGGCACCCCAGGGCCAAGGCCACTTCTCAACCAGGCACCCCAGGGCCAAGGCCACAGCAATGGCTTTCTATTGGCTTTCAAAGCTGCCGTTTGCCAGCCCGCAAACACTCCAAACCCTCCAAAACTCTCCAAACGCTCCAAACACCCTCCAAACGCTCCAAAACCCTCCAAACCCTCCAAAACCTTCCAAACCCTCAACCCCCTTCAAAATCTCCAAACCCTCCAAAACCCATCTGTCATCTATCTCTCTCTCTCTCTCTCCAGTCTCTCTCTCTCTCTCTCTCCCTCTCCCTCTCCCTCATCCCTCCCTCCCTCCCTCCCTCTCTCCCTCCCTCCCTCTCTCTCTCTCTCTCTCTCTCTATCCCTCTATCTATCCATCTGTCCAACAATCGATCTATCCACCTGTTTATCTAACTGTCTATCTACCTATCTATCAATCTATCTCTCTCTCTCTCTATCCCTCCAAACCCTCCAAACACCTTCCCCAACAGGCACCCCAGGGCCAAGGCCACTTCTCAACCAGGCACCCCAGGGCCAAGGCCACAGCAATGGCTTTCTATTGGCTTTCAAAGCTGCCAGCCCGCAAACACTCCAAACCCTCCAAAACCCTCCAAACGCTCCAAAATCCTGCAAACCGTCCAAACACCTTCCAAAACCCTCCAAACCCTCCAAACACCTTCCCCAACAGGCACCCCAGGGCCAAGGCCACTTCTCAACCAGGCACCCCAGGGCCAAGGCCACAGCAATGGCTTTCTATTGGCTTTCAAAGCTGCCATTTGCCAGCCCGCAAACACTCCAAACCCTCCAAAACTCTCCAAACCCTCCAAACACCCTCCAAACGCTCCAAAATCCTCCAAACCCTCCAAACACCTTCCAAAACCCTCCAAACCCTCCAAACACCTTCCCCAACAGGCACCCCAGGGCCAAGGCCACTTCTCAACCAGGCACCCCAAGGCCAAGGCCACAGCAATGGCTTTCTATTGGCTTTCAAAGCTGCCGTTTGCCAGCCCGCAAACCCTCCAAAACTCTCCAAACCCTCCAAACACCCTCCAAACACCCTCCAAAACCCTCCAAACCCTCCAAAACCTTCCAAACCCTCAACCCCCTTCAAAATCTCCAAACCCTCCAAAACCCTCCAAACCCTCCAAACACCTTCCCCAACAGGCACCCCAGGGCCAAGGCCATTTCTCAACCAGGCACCCCAGGGCCAAGGCCACAGCAATGGCTTTCTATTGGCTTTCAAAGCTGCCGTTTGCCAGCCCGCAAACACTCCAAACCCTCCAAAACTCTCCAAACGCTCCAAACATCCTCCAAAACCCTCCCAAACCCTCCAAACCCTCCAAAACCTTCCAAACCCTCAACCCCCTTCAAAATCTCCAAACCCTCCAAAACCCTCCAAACCCTCCAAACACCTTCCCCAATGGCTTTCTATTGGCTTTCAAAGCTGCCGTTTGCCAGCCCGCAGTTCATCCATCCTTCTTGTGCAGCTTGTTTCAGGCGATCGGCCTGAGAGGTATAAAACACGGAGATGCAGCGCCGATTGACTCATGAGGTGTTCAGTTTTATTTGAATGAATTTTTGAATTGTGGGGTCATGATTGAAATGAGTGCCATTACTTGCAATGCAGCAAGGTTCATGACTTCACGAGATGTTCATTTCTTATGGAGACAAACGTGAACACTTTTCAAACTACATGGCATGAACGTTTTGGAGTCTCAGCTGTGTGCTGCTTACTTGGGAATGTCTCAGAACAGGCCACAACTGAATGCCCCAAGCCCTTCTTTTCTAACTAACAAAAGCGAGCTTGGGGCATTCCTATTTTGAGTTCCCATTTTTGGATATTGTTGAAATCATGATTATAAGGAATGCCATCACTTGCAATGCAGCAAGAGTCATGATTCATGCGAACGTCATGAACTGATGTGCCTTAATGCAAGGACTGAAGTTTTATGCATCGAGTTGTCACTAAGCATGTGACGCCAGACATGTGCAGAGTCATGCAACTCGAATGGACGGCACTTGTATGCACTTCCGCAATTTGAAAAAGCCCCAAAAAAACTTTTATTAACTCAAGTGATGCTCAACGACATGCAGTCACCAGCTTGTTCAACTTTTACCAACATGCCTGATCATCATGTGAGCCTTTTTACTCATTGGCCTTGAACCTGCAGGTTTCAATGACAGTGTGACCAAGCTGACAGGTTGTTCATGCGGACTTGGCGAGCGTCAAGATTTTGGTTTCCCAGATTCGAGAAATGATGGCAAAAGAATGTGAGACCATATGGGTTGACACGAGCCAGATGTTAGCGGACGTGCTCACGAAGTTGGGATGCGAATGTGAACTGATCTTGCAAGCGCTTTCCAGTGGCTGCACCAAATAGGACCAAAGCTGTGTCGGATCAAACCCTCCAAAACCCTCCAAACCCTCCAAACACCTTCCCCAATGGCTTTCTATTGGCTTTCAAAGCTGCCGTTTGCCAGCCCGCAAACACTCCAAACCCTCCAAAACTC